TTTGTCATGTCTTAGAATTCATCTAACTTAATAATGCTTTAGTTGACAATAAAAATACTTAGTACACTCGTCAACAATAATGTTCACCTTCTCGTAGCTAAAATATATCTCGTTCAAGCCTTGTCTACTTTTTTATCAAAATAAATATCGATTAGCCTTGTACAAATTCTTTTTCTCTTTGTTGTGGAATCTAAATCAGCTCAATATAAAAAAGAACGAAGCAAGATTTTTTTTGTCTCGTGATAGAAAGTTATCCACTTACTAATTGATTCAAGGCTAGTCAATGACAATGCAGTTGGCAGAAAGAAGAAAAAAATAATTTTAAACTATAGTTCATACCACAACTGTCCATCGCTTGATCTCTTCGAATAGTAAACGTTACACATTGACATATGTCAAGCGAACTCGATAGGACATAACCACCCACTGTGCATTCTACTGATCACTAACGTCGAATTGAATGGAATAGAAAAGAAGTATAGCCGATATGCAGGAACACATTCAACAAAGGAAAAAACAGAAGAAACTGACACTTTTGTCAATGAACGGATTAGACTACAAGTAATTGATGTTCTTTATTTTGATGAGATAACTAGATATGATTTGATGATAATAAGAAAAAAGAAAATGCGTTTATACAATCAAAAAATTACACATATTCTTATCATCATGTCATTTGGACAATGAAAAGTAAAAGAGTATGTGATACATGTCGATGAAGGTCAATTGTATGTGTTGAACAACTGTACAATGACAGTATATAATTGAAGATGGAAAAAAAAGATTGGTTGAGCTAATCATATGTCGATCATTGAATTAATTATGTATCTACTTCTATTTGTTAGTATGACTTCAATATTATTATAGTACCCTTTTGTCATATAAAAGATCTTATTATCTCTAGATCAGTGGCGGTGGAAGGATTTTTGTGTATGATGGATCTTAGTTTCAGAGCATGGGACCCAAATGAAACTTATGGAGGATGATATTGAACCCAAATGATGAGGTTTTATCAAAAAAAATTTGTGATCAGAGTTTGCGAAAAAAATTCTTTTTTTCCTGAGCCTCACCTAGATTTTTCTTTCGCTGTTTGTAGTATTCCGTTTTTTAGAATTTAATAGTAAGCTACATCGAATTTCATCAATAGATTTCAAATTTCATCTAAAAATATGCATCCGTTCAGGAGTTATAACGTTGTGAATTTTTGCTAAAATTTCAGCAACATGTAGCAAGTTTTCAAAACGTTATAACTCCTGAACGGATACATGTTTTTAGATGAAATTTGAAATCTATCGATGAAATTCGATGTAGCTTACTATTAAATTCTAAAAAACGAAATACTACTAACAGCAAAAGAAAAATCTAGGTTAGGCTCAGGAAAATATAATTTTTTTCTCAAACTCTGATCACAATTTTTTTTTGATAAAACCTTATCATTTGGGTCCCATGCGCTGAAGCTTAGATCCAGCATACACATAAATTCTTCCGCTGCCCCTGCTCTAGATTAATGTCTGTTTTGCTAGTTTATTGACAGTGGGATAGTTGTAGTCATGTATCAAATAAAAGACAGTTGTTGATGATATGAAGATAGTTATTAACAGTCAATTCCGGGATAAAAGAGAAACGACTATGACATTCTAGAGGATATCGAGAAAAATAGAAATAGACAGTTTATTTCAATAAATAAATTTACAAAAAGAAAATATCGAAACAAAATTTTTAAAAAATGATCACTGTTTTTTGCCACTCTATCAATCATGGGAAATAATTTCATTGTATTAAGTGTCTGCTTGAAAATGTTTAGCAAATAGAGAATATAGATCTATGTTAATAGTTCGATTTGACAACTGGAACCAGATTATTAATAAAAAAAAACAATGCAGATGGTTGTTATTGTATTTGTCATCTTGAGTTATTAGAAAACAAGGCGAATTACTCGTCAAATGTCAATGTATATATGAGATCTGTAATTCAGATATTGTGTTTATTAGATTATTTTTGAATTTCTCTCGTAGACGTGTTACAATATAATTGATTGATTTTTTTTTATATACAAGTAAACAGCGACATATTTCTGGTCAAATTTGTTGTTTGAGAATGGTGAAATTCTACAAAAGGACAGGAAAGTCAATAACCGAATAACTCAATTTTTGAGTATTGAACAGCACTAAAGTTACTTCGTTTTGTAATAATCAAGATTCGATAGCTTAAGTACTAGATTGCATTATTTTGAATCATTGTTATTTCTTCATAATTAAATCGATCTGGATCAATGTCAAGACCCATTGAACCACGATAGATTAAAGTTTAACTTGAACCAAAAGTGAATGCTGAAGATGATCGATTACTTCCTTCAACCATCATAGTAAGTGAATCGCGTTCAGGAACACTATTCTCTCACAAAATCATAAAGATACGAGTAATGATAAGTCTTGTTTTGGTGTTAAATAAACATCAGTATTCTGTCCACAGTCAGGCGCCCGAATAAAACTACACAACCTAAAACTAGTATACTTGGTATTACTATCTCTATCAAATGCATATTCTAGAATCTCATTTGTATAATAGTGACCAATAGCTCTAGTACCAAGTGTCGCTAAACGGCGATCACTTCCAAGTGTTGTATTTCAAATATCGTAGGTTGTTTTACTCGTTTCAGTGAATAATGATGTTTCTGTTAAGATATTTCCTTTTATTAGATAAAAAAAAAGAAAATATATCTTACGTCGTATTGACTTTAAACTAGATGGAATTAAAAGAGCGATGAGAATCATAGCAGCGAATATGCCAATGCAAACAGTAGCAAATAGACATAAGTAAACGGATACATTTATACCTAAAATAGTTAATCAAAATAGATTGGTATTTATATTATATGAAGTAACTTTTGATCATTTTGATAGACGTCTTTTAGTTTTAGTCATTGAACGATCGTTTTTCGTTGATTTCTGATGTGATGAAAATCAAAAATGAAATCGATTTATTTATGTACATTTTTATTTACTTATAATGAAGATTGATGGATTTTAGTAACACAGACCGAATGTTCTATACTTGTTGTTTGTCTACTGAAATTTTTGAAGAGTGACGCTTTCTTTAATTTTTTTCGATCTTGTCGAGCAGCGATGATCGTTGAAATCTAGTTTAAAACAAAGATAAATTAGAGGAGACTCTCACTGAGGTTGAAATATGACTGAACGTAAATTTTCAGCAAGATCGTCTGTTTTATTATCTACGAAATCAGTAACAGTTGGTGATTGAATAGTTGGGTGAATGATCTTGATTAAAGGACTTATACCACAACAATAAAAATATTATAATTCTTACTGAGTTTTTTTGACGAATGACGATAAGATTGAGTTAATGAAATGTTATTTGAAATATAGTATATACATTGATAATGTTTTTATATAGATATCTCTTTTACTGATTATCAATATGTTTTCAATTCAAACATTTTCTTTTTGAGAATTAGAATAAAAATTTTAAAATGTTTGTTCCTTTTCTCCTACATTCATTATGACATTTTCTTTTACAATTCTATTTCACAGATAAATAAACAAATCTTTTTTGAATTGTCTATCTCTGACTTGAGCATTATCACCTATTTTGAAAAGAACAACGAGATCGTCTTTGGAATTATCTATACTATATAGATACGTTACTGTCTGTAATACAAATAAAAAATGTTAATAAATTTGACATAAATATATTTATACAACTAAGATATCAATACAAGATTATTAATAAAACAGCAAAAGAAGAAATTTGAAACCAATGAACTAGTATACAATTATAGGGAAATAAACACAATAAAATATACATACAGTGACTTTAAGAAAAGCAAGATTTTTTAATGAAACAAATTAGCATTGATATATAATAGGAAAATATACATATTATTACATAGCTACAATTTGAAGATAGATTAAACATTGAAATGATGATGTTCCGAAATTAAAACTTCATTCATCGCCGTCTTTAACTTTTGAAGATATCGTTTTGAAAACCATATAATCTTGATAGAATTAGACGAATCAATAGATTCAATAGATTCTCGAAGATGATACTGTTGATGTTGTTGACAATATTTTAGAATAAGAACATAGATACCAGCAATCAACCAGTAGATAAGCATTTCACATACTAATAAATCCATAACAAATATAGTAATTGCACCACCATTCATGCGATTTTTTTTCTAGAAAACATCAAAATTTATTGTTAAAGTGAAAGAAATGATAAGATAATTATTATATCTTACCCACACATGATATGCTCTGTCAAAAGTAAATCCAATGAAGACGAGACCAGCTATACTAGCAAGAACATATAGGATGATATCTTCAAATTTTATATTCTTTGCCCAACGAAGCTGACAATTCAGAAAAAGAAAATATTATAAATTTCGTACAAAACAAAAGAATAATAAAACAAGTCTAATTTAGATAAGTAGAAAAAAAGATTTATATAATTATAGGCACTTGTTTATTCCGAAAAGATTGAGACTTGTTTGTTTTTGAAATTGAAGAAATATTAATTGGTATTTTAGTAATAGACATAATGACAACTTTTTCTAAAGAAATTTTCAATCTAAAACAATATGTTAAATTCTATAAATTGAAATATGCTTCAAATAAATTCGAAATGACTGCATTCGTTAAAATATAGACCGAGATTTTAATCTAGAAGGACGTATTTATTATTTTATTATATCTATGTTCTCAAAATAATGAGAAGCTCATTTATTATCGAAACGTTTTTTTTTCTTATTCAAATGTGTTTTATTTCGATTAAAAATGAATCCTTTTTTATGTGTAACGTACTGTAAATCATTTCATCATATACTAAAAACTTTCTATCTTATCGTCTCAAAATCATATAGGAGGTATCTCATTTTATTGTAAAGAAAAAACAGAGTACAATAATAAATCATAAACAAGAATTGGAATTTGTCATTCTACTCCTTTTTTAATAGTGTGTCACAAAATCTTGATATAATATAAGAGATGTTGTAGGGAAACTATTATCTGATGATGCTATGAAATATTGTCCTATCTAACAAAATGTATAAATCTGCATCAATCTATGGATGATAGAAAGCAGTTTTCTGAAAAAAAAAACTGTTTCAAATTCATGTTTATATGTCAGTAAACATAAATGAGCATTTACACATGACATGATGTGAATGCCGAACATTATTTAGATGAACTAAAACGAATATTTTCACAAATTAGGAAGTATATATGTAAGACTTTGCAACTAAACTATGAAACAATTGTGAATTTTTATTTGAGGAAGACCTTGTACATGTAATGTTTCATTAATATTTGTTATAAAGTATGTTAAATTCTTTATTTACCAACTGGAAGTGATTCAGATTGCTCAAAAAAAGTCGTTATCTGTACGAAATTCTATATTAGTTTTATATTAAAACTAATATTTAGAAATATTTTTAGTCGAAAGTATTTCGAAAATATCATCAATCCATTTTTTTTAAATATTTTCAGCGATTTATAAATAATAAAATCATTCGAAGAAAGCAACTCTTATCAATACTAATTTTTTCTTTACTGAATATGAAAATCAGATATAAAAACTGTGATGCAATAAATGTTTCATTCTACTTTAAGTTTTAAAATAAAATAATGTTAATATATTAAACTGTATAAGATAAATTGTCATTTTCTTTTCATAAAATAAATTTCAAATAAAATAATACAACATGTAAAAAAAAAGATGAAACGTTCTTACCATTCAAGTAATATTATTACATAATTTTATTCAAGTTTTCAAAAAGAGATTTCATATCTTTTCTTACTTTATTAAGATCAAACTAGTTATGGAAGAAAATAAATAATCATTAGATGAAATGTTTCTAAATCTAATCTATATATATAATGTTCAGTGTGTGTGCTTCTCTGTGTCGGGTCAAAGATTAATGGTCGTAGGACTATAAGGGGATAAGACTAGAAAGGTATAAGGGACTCAGGCTAGAAGGCTATAAGGATTAGGCTACAAGGGTAAGACTATAAAGATATAAAACTATAAGGGTATAAGACTATAAGATATATCTATATATATAATACGAAGCATCTGATTATCTGTTATCGGATCGAAATTAAAGCATAGATGTGAAGCTTTACAAGAAAAAAAAACAGCCGTGCAATATGCACGGGATCTCGCTAGTTTATCAATATTAGACATATGGAAAAAGAAAGAATTTATTTTTTAAAGAAAAAGAAAAAAAGATTAAACAAACTTTTGAAAAATAATCAAAATAATTTTGTTATATATGAATCAAATTTTGAGAAGTTTATTTTATAACTATAATAAGATGTTAGTCTTACATCCAAATTTCAATCATTTGCAATCAAATCAATATATGATAATTTATATTTTTTATTAAGACAAATTTCGTTATATAAATCTTTCACAGAAGAAATTTTTTTTGTTTGATTGTCTTTGTTAGATAAATAAAATAACATTTATTATTTCAAATAATTCTTTAAGAATGTTATATTGAAGAGTTTGTTTAAATTATACGCCAATATCCATAATAGTAGGCTTTTCTAAACAAAATTCGAATAAAGTAGAACCATAGAAATTTATTTGACAATCTATTTTAAGAAAAATAAATGAATTATGTTAAGAGGTTTTTGTCTTATCTTTCGAAAGTATTAAAACTAAAATAACAGTCAAATGAACATTTGTAAAAATTTAGAACACAAAAGATTCAATTTGTTTCGGTCTCTCTTATTCACAACTGGTCGAATGGATTATATGATCAGTTCTATACTCGATATACATCTTGAAACGAAATATCTGTTCATTTTTCAGTACTCGAGAATAGTTGATTCAATTTATAGTTTTAAAATCATGATTCATCGGTTGCAATTAGAACTCACTGAATATAGTGCGGGAACACTTCAACGAATTTTATTCTAAATGTACGAGACAAGTATCACTTGATTATTATAAGATTGCTATCGAGATTGTGTTGGAAATATTTAGGGTGGGCTAGTCGTAAAATACAAAAAACTGAAAACAAGTATCTTGTATCTCTGTAGTGATGATCAGATTTGGATTAAAAAATTTCATTAAAATTTTTAAGAATATAGTTTGGATTCAAAAGACGAGGCCACACTGCAATCCTCATACACTTTTAATTAAAATGCTGTATCAACGTTATATTCACTCTTTTTAGCTGTTTATGTACTAAAGACAAGAATTTTAGCTTTTCATTAATCGTGTTAAAGTATAGTCATTTGACTTAAAGACTTTTTTTAGAAAATTTACCTGATGGTGTAATAAAATAAGTTGTCGCTGTTAGAAAATATTAATAGATAATGAACGTTCATTAAGAATTTTATTAAAAATATTTTGTAATGTTATTAAATGTTCATATATTGACTTTTGACTATCAATAATTGACCAAGCAATTTTAATGAAATTTTTCCTAGATACATAAATTTAAATGATCATCTATATACTTTGCTTAGTGAAGCATCGATTTGATTGGCATTAACACATTATAATAGAAGAAAAATATTTACTTCATTGTTTGATAATAATACAAAACCAATCACTTGAATTAGTTCTGTCAAATTTTTCATTTTTGAATTATTGATTTGACCAATGAATTAACTCATAAACATTTAAGTAATGACCTTGGAGTAAAATTGACTTATTATTGATGATTGAAATTTATTAACGGGACATTTTTAGTACGGTCCCTCGCCGAAAAAAAAAACAGTCAAATAAGAGAAACAATAGCAAATGCCCTATGATTGGTCGTTTGGTTTTTTTGGAGGAGGCCCAATAGCTTTAATCCTAGTAGATAGAGAAACTTAATCTCTATCAAACTGCGTTTTTAGTTTTTTTTAAAAAGAGGCATGTAAATTGTACAAAACGTTACAAAGATGAGATTGTAGCGCCCTCTTTATGCTATGTATTTTTTTATTGAGTTAAGTCTCGAAATTTGCACTTAGGCTAGAAAAATGAACACCTAGCCACTCTCTTTATTCTACTTAGACTCGAGAATTCTCGATATTAACTGAGAAAAAAGAGGCACACACGCTCCTGTCATCTTTAATAGCCATCTATATATGTAATAATCTTTTTTCGTTCTATCAATTTATTCGGTCGCTTTTTCAACCAATATTTTTTCTTTCCTTTCTCTACTGTGTGTAAACGGAACAAGTACCCATATCTGATCTAGAAATCATTCTTTTTATTGATTTTTCTCCATGTTTTGATTTTATTGTTGCAGATTTTATATAAATAATGACTCATCAAGAATTTGTTGCTACAAGTAACAAATATCCGACATTACTCGGTATGGAATTTGACATTTCCAAAGGCATATATATTTTAGTTAAAAATGGTCAAGTTGTGGCTCAAGACAATTGTAGTTTTAAATTGGTTTCCATGATTCCTAATTATAAAACAAATTCAACTGATGAATTTCAACTCATAAATCTACTATTGGTTCGTGATGATCATTATTTCATTCAGCATTTGCATTGTGTTTGAAACGGATACGGTTTAATGACTCCTCAATTGAAACTTATATTTCATGATAAAGATGCAATTGAAAATCAAATTTATTGTCCATTTTTAATAGACACAGCTGCGACGATGTCTTGTATACCAGAAAAACTGAAACCATTTCCTGTTGATGCAACTTATATTGATATTGAAACAGGTGCTGGTATGCAACGACAAAAACTTACGAAAATTCAAGTTAATATTGATGAACATTGTTACAACGTCATAGCTTGCATTAATCAAGGAAGTTTATGCATTCTTGGGTTGGACATATTGAAGTACTACACACTTAATATTGATGGGGACAAAGCAGGCGTTCTGATAAAGAATAGCCTTAAACCAAATCTTGAAGAAATATTTACCATTTAACAGAAACAATAAATACTGTAGTATGTATAAGAAAGAATGACAAAGATATTTATCATTGATCTATTTTTGTTATTATTTGTGTCACGCTACTTGTCATTAAATATGTCTCTTGTTTTTGACGAATAAAAAGAATAAAATAACGAGAAGATTAAGTAGACAAATATCGTATACAAGGGCACCGATAGCTATACAATAATTTAGTTAAGATTTGAGATGACAGCTTTCAGTAGATTGAAAGATAAGGTAAATTATTGTTAAATATAAAGCAACTAATGAGTTTTTTATTATAAATCAATAATTGATTTATTTATGAAACAATATGATCTTGTTTTTTATTTTATTTTAATTTTTATTTTTATGATCTTATTTATTTTATTTTAATTTTAATTTTTATGATCTTATTTATTTTATTTTAATTTTAATTTTTATGATCTTATTTATTTTATTTTTATTTTTATTTTTATGATCTTATTTATTTTATTTTTATTTTTATGATCTTATTTATTTTATTTTTATTTTTATTTTTATGATCTTATTTATTTTATTTTTATTTTTATTTTTATGATCTTATTTATTTTATTGTTATAAGATCTGTTTATCAATAGCTATATGAACAATTTTAATGTCTAGCTGTATGAATAAACATAAATAAGAAATAATGTAATGTTCAAATTTTAATATTTTAAAATCATTTTTAACTTTATAAGAATAGTTGAATTTTCGACTGTAATGAAGCCATCATCAGAACATGATTCATTTGTTGCTTTACCTTTAACAATAATTTGCTCTATCTTTCAATTATGAAAAAATCCATGTTAAAAAACTTTTATTGAAATTTAATGTATGTATTGACTATAGCATCAATTCAAACATAGTGCAGTCTTTTTTCTCTCTTTAGAGAAATAGAAACATCAAATATATCTTAAATAATTATACAAGTAATACAACATCATCTATGAAAAAAGATCATAAATAAAATCCTTATAATAACCAACATTGAAATTAAAATTAAAAAGCAAAATTGAAAAATTAAAAAATTAAAATTAAAATTTTTTACTTATTTATCAAACTCGTGTTCTGA